GTGGAGAAAGGGGTGGGAGTGGGGGCATCAATAATCAAAGGGGGGGAAAATAGGAGAAATCTGAGGTGCTGTCTGTATCCTTTTCATGAGGGAAGAAATGTTGCCTATGTGCATAGAAGGATCGCTCAAGTGTGAGATGAAATAAATGGCACTGATGGTAAGAACTAGATTGCTCCAGATTCACCTGTTTAGCCACATCCAACTTCTGGTAGTCTCCAGACAGAAAACTCCTCATATGGGCAATTAGAAGATGCATCTTTTAATCCTTAACAGATTATCTGCAGTAAAGCAAAAAAAAAAAAAAAAGAAAAAAAAGAAAAAAAAAAAGAAAAAAAGAAAAAATTAAAGGATTACAAATTCAATATAACGCAGTGTCATCTGAAGCACCCAGAATGATGAAAGAATGAAGAAAGTCAATAGCAAAATGACGCAGACACCTTTACAAAACCAAAAAGATTCACAGCATTTTAAATCAGATTTCTATGTTTAGATTTACATTGGTTATGTTTATTATATTTATGATCTACATAAATTCTACTCCAAGCAACAGCCATTCTGCCTATTACACAAAATGTGATAAGAGACTGAAAATGCAATTCTTTACCCTTTTATTTGGGACGTGGTAGTGCTATGGGTTAAACCGCAGAAGCCTCTGTGCTGCAGGGTCAGAAGACCAGCAGTCATAAGATCGAATCCACACAACAGAGTGAGCTCCTGTCACCTGTCTCAGCTCCTGACAACCTAGCAGTTGAAAGCATTGTAAATGCAAGTAGATAAATAGGTAGGAAGGTATTGGCGTTCCGTGTCTAGTTGTGCTGGCCATGTGACCACGGAAACTGTCTTCGGACAAACGCTGGCTCTATGGCTTGGAAACAGGGATGATCACCGTGCCCTAGAGTCAGACACGACTAGACTAAATGTCAAGGGGAACCTTTACCTTTACTCTTTTATTTAGAAGTTGCACTGTTTAGTGGTTCTTACTCCTAATTGTATATATAGAATTGCAACCTTGGTAAAGTCTGGACTGTTTCAGTCAGACTGTATATAGGGATATCATGAAATATCCAAATAATTTTGGTTTGGTTTCTTTGGATTTTACCTAATATGCTTGCACAAACTAACATGACTACCTCTTCTAAACCTGGATATGGAGAGTTAGTTTTTTAAAAACTGATTTATTATCCAAAATTTTCCTTTCTTTTCTTCTTTTATCCCATTGCAGGCAAGCAAAGACAGGCTTTTGGCAACTGACAGGTGCCAAGAAAATTTTTTTATTCTGATAAGTGTCTTTTCTTTTTCACTTTTAAAGAGCTCTAGCATTATTTTATTTTGGTGCTTGCTTTTAACTTCATAACTTATTTAATTGGGTGTTGATATTATGACAATTCTCTTTTCAAGTACATCTGATTTTTAATTCTTGGTCTAAACTGCAGGGGAGAAAGGCGGATAAACAAAAAAAAGTAGCACAAAAAGGAAAGGGAAACTTCTGTATCAGGTAAGCTAGAACATGAGAGAGACCCTTTTCAGAGTTTTATCTTCTGTCTATAATGTTAAGTTGCACAATCTGAGTAGGTAGTGATGCACATGATTTGCAAAATTTGGAAATATTCCCCTTTTTGTATCATAACATCTTACAGAATTTTCCAGCCAGCCTAGCCATTTGCCACCCTGACTGGGGACTCTGGTACTTGTCCAAAAAAATAATTTTACAAGCTCTGTCCTTTCGTAATTCTAGTTTGAAAGGGCAATATAAATTTCAATTTGACAGGTCTGCTATAGTTTGCACAAAATAGGATATAATGAATTGACTTTGGATGTGTGGAAGAGGGGAGAGTTTATAGTCCTAGGCTTATTTGCACTATGCCATAACATAAGCCATCATGATCAAATTTTACAAAGAAAAAAGTTTGCAAACTGAATTTTTTTTTCTCTCTGCTAATACAAACATTGACAAATGAACAAGAAGAATCCTAAGAACTGTAGTTTTATCATAACTAGGGTTTTAGTTGGAATATAATGGCTTAGATCACTTATATATCTAAAAATATTATAGCCCATCCTTTAGCACAAGATTTGCTTGAAAAAGAAGCTAATAATTAAAAAATTTAAAATGGTAAAATCAGTGAACAAAAAATTGTAACACAGAAGACACAAAATACAACAATGGCTAGTTATGTCAAGCAGTTGCATTTTAGACATAGTACTGCAATGTTCTCCTGGACAGCAAAAAAAAAAAGATGACAGGAAAAAAATGATTCATTTGAAATAAAGTTTTGGAGGAAAGCTCTGCAGATACCCTGGACTGGCAGAAAGTTGAACAAGTGAGTCTGAGATCAAATCAAGCCTGAACTGTCTCTGGAGGCAAAACCAATGAAACTGGGGCTGTCCTACTTTGGGAGCATCATGAGAAAGCATGATTATCTGTGAAAGACAATAATACTAGGAAAAGTTGAAGGCAGTAGGAAAAGAGGAAGACCAAATACAAGATGGATTGACTTCCTAAAGGAACCACACACTTGAGTTTACAAGAGCAGAGCAGGGTTATTGAGGATTGGACACTCATGCATAGGGTCGCCATAAGTCAAAAGCAGCTTGACTACACATAACAATACAACTGTTCAAAGGCTGCCCCATATGCCACATTGCAATACAGTAGTTTTCATATGGAGGTTACTATAAGATGGACACTGTGCCCAGGCTGTCTCTAACTGTGAGGAACCATACTGGCATAGCAGCACAGAGTGCTGCTGTTGTAACAACTTCCTATACATCTATGGGAAATCTATGGCTGCAAACCTATTCCATAGGATATGCAGTGTAAGTCTGACAACATCATCAGCCTCAATAATTTTCCAAAATAAAACTTTACCAATCCTTCCCAGGGTTCCCATGGAATTCCTTTCATCATTGGGAATTCTTTGGGGGCTGTGAAACAGGAGGATAATCCTGAAAATTGCTGCTGCCACAATGAGTTTACTGGTGGAGTGTTTTGGTAATTGAATATTTCTCCCATGGCCCTGAAAAGCTTCCCAATGACCAAAGGGATTTCATGAGCCTTGAGACTTTTTGAGGGGTGAGCAGAAAAGTTTTTTATTGGGAAAAATGCTGCACTTAATGACATCACCATTAGCCTTAAACAGCATAATTTACCAAGCATAATTTCAGCTCTAGTGATCATATCTGAAGAACGGGAAAGAGTGAGAAATGATCAGGGGGCTGGGGCAATTCCAACATACAGTGCTGCAACGGGAAAGAGCAGGCTCTCATCATGTCATCATCATATTCCAAAAGGAAGGTCCAGAAGATGCAAACACCTGGATCTGTCTGTATAAACAAATGAGTAGCTGGTCTTTTGTAACTTTAGTGACTTTTAATTGCTCATTCAATACCAAACCATCTTCAAATACTTTGCACTGGAGCAGGAATAACTTACCCAAAGATACTGGGCTTGGGAAAATCCATTCCTCTGCTACATGTTGTGAGGATTGCAGCTAAACTCAGAGAAAACAGGGAAGTTTGAGGAGACCGTGGCTGATGATGTAATAGTCCCTGCAGCTTACAAAATCCTGGGGATTTGTCCCTGTGAAATTTGGCTCTACTACTCCATTACCAAAAGGAGAACTAATTTTAAGCATTTTTATTTTTTTTAAAGCCAGTCAGAAAGAAAGAGCATAATAGAGATTCACAGAAGAAAATTAATAAGAAGATGGATCTACTATAGTTGCAATTTACTGCTGAATTTCAGCCAGTAACACCAAGGAAAAGAGGTATACAGTATTAACGTCAGTTTTGTTTCTCCTCAAAGCCATATTCTGTGCTAATTGGTTGATATAGTAATGTGATTTTACACACTTTTATGTTTTCCTGGGAAAACCGCAAATTTTATTTCAGACAACAAAAGGGTGTGCGTAATGTAACTTAAATATACCTTACATGCTCTGTTCAAAGTTGTAGGGGGGCATAATTTTTTAAAAGGTGAATGCTATTTCAAAAAATGTTCTGTACATATCATTTTAGACTTCTAAATGTGAAAGAAAATTTCCCTGGTTCCGCAAAATAAACCACTACTGATATAGTTAATGAAAAATATACCTGACATAATTCACAATCTTGGTAAAAGGAAGTATGTGGGATTAGAAAGATGCTTCTGGCAAGCGTTATTTTACTGCATCTGTTGACAGGAGATTGAAATTGTTGTTATAGCCTCTGTTTTTAACATAAAATCTCTGGAATGTCTATGTGAGTTACATAGTGTTCAGCATGTTATTGATTTATACATACACTAGCAGTGTATGTATACATCAATTTGTGGCTTTCCAGATGTATTTGAAATACAGTTATGATCATCTCCAGCCAGCATATCCAGTGGTGAGGCATGATGGGATTTGCAGTCCAGCAATATTTAAAGGGCAGTGATTCGCAAAAGCCTGTTAAGTGGCTTTTAGATCAAGATTTTCTCTGCTAGCAATACACGACTTTAGTGCCAGATTTACTAAAGGATGAACCAGAATCTAATTATAGAGAACAATCAATATTATTTGACAAGATTTAGTAGTTGTTAAATCATCCCCTGACTACATAACCCGTATATATTAACTGCTTGAATACATGTCAGATTACTATGTGTACGTGTTTTCCACTATGGGAATTTTGTAGAGAGAAAAATGTAACTAATGAAACTGATTTGCAATATTAGAACTACTGAGTATTTTAATGAGTGCATAATCTTCTAAATATTCCTGCATTATGTTCGCAGCCTTAGGAGGTGTTGCTCTAACTCGATTATATCAAAGGGATGTGACACTTCCAAGCCTTCTGCCTCACTTCTGCTTGTGGAATTTCTTATGCCAGTGGCATCGGACCTGCTATATAAAGCCATCCTATTAGTTCTCTCTTCCCATTCAGAAAGTTTACAGCCTCACAGAGCTCTCTGTTCTCTGCCCAGAAAGGCTGGTGCTGAGGAGAGAGAATTGTTTTGACAACTGACTGCTAGGTAAAGGATGCCTGTGAGTCTTAGCTGGGTGGTAACCTGTGTCTTCCTCACAGTTAGCCCTACTGATGGATTTATTGAGAAAGGACTCAAACAGAGGATGCTTGAAAAACTAGGGCTTCCTGAAGCCCCTTCCCTTCAAAGGAGAGACTTGGAGAATCTGGTCATTCCAGAGAATATCAGGAATAAATACATGTCCATGCTGAAGCGTCACCGAGTGAAGCGAAGAGCATTGCCTAGTCTAGCTGGGATCCTAAGAGGAATTCCTGGTGATGCAGGTAAATTTCACATTTATTTTTGCATGCATGGGATGTAACCATAAGCAAAGCTTGAACAAGTTTCTTTTTAGGACTTCAGCTGCTTCCAGGCATTGTGGGAGTTGTACTGCAAAACCAGAACGTCCAGGAGCTCTGACAAAAAACAAAACCTGCATCCTAATATGATATTCCAAATGTGCTGGCAAATGTTTATGGAACAAGGCTGTTTAATAATCATAATCAAAAGCACCAATAATCGATAATCCTGGAGCAAAAAAAAAATACTAGGTCTGCCCCTCAGAGGAGATGATCTGTCTGTCTGTCTGTCTGTCTGTCTGTCTGTCTTAAACCAGAAGGTCATGTGCATGCAATTAATTGGTTAGAAATGAATTTTTCTTATCACAGGTTTAGTTTGCACTGCTTTTTGCAATCCTAAATGTATTTTCTCAGAAGTAACTTTCTTCTAAGTTCAAAACTTGCTTGGGATACTTAAATTAAGATTGTGTTGGACTATATTCTGATAAATCAAGATTATCCTTGGCTACTCATGAGTGAGTCCCACTGAGTTCTGTGGGAATTACTTTCCAAGCTAGCTCAGTTGTATTTTATTTCACCTCCTATTAGCCCCAGACTTCATGGCCAAAATGTTTTTTAAAGTGGGAGGGGGAAACCCTGATGAACCTAAATATTTCCTGTTGTCCCTCCAAATGCATACAGATATTTTAGGAGATGTCCTGTATTCAGACACAACCCGTCAGAGTCTGATGTTTGATATGGAGGGCAGGATTCCAGAAAACAGTGAAGTGACAATGGCTGAGCTGAAACTTTTCAAGAAGCCCCTGGAAATGAAACATCTGCCTAGCAGGCAATCTCAGAAGCCAGTCACAAATGCCCGGGTGAGCGTCTACTGGGTAGAGCTTGGAGACAATGGTACCAACCGGACTTCTTTGATTGATTCCAGGTATGAACAAAGGGCATGGCCTGATGGCTCAGGAAAGGTGCACTTTAAAGGAATTCAATACAAAGATGAGGTTTCAGGGGAACAGAACAATAGTCTCAAAGCTTGGAAATACTACTTTTTAAAAGGCTGCATCTCAAGCGTCCTCTAGCCAGCTTTGCCACTGACCATAATGTGAATCCGGATGTTGTAGTGCAAAAAAGAAGAGTACTGTTTCCAGGCTCTGCAACAGCTCCAACAACATTTAAAATATGCCTCTCAGATATAATCAGTTGAAATGGAGGATAAACTATGAACTGTAAAGGTTCATACATCAAACTGTAAAGGTTTGATGTAGCTAGGACTGGCCCTGCCATTAGGCAAGAGTGAGGTGGCTGGCTCAGGCAGTAGCTTTCAGGGGACATGAACATAAATTGTTAGTGATTTCATTTGTGGTCATTTTTAACCACATTCTAACTGCCAGGGAGAGGGGGCGATGCTTGTGGGAACTGGTGCCCTATGTGGAAAAAATGTCTTGGTTGGCTTTAGATTTTGATGTGGGTGGGCAAGAGGCGTTATTTGGTGCTCAACATCAAAGTGTCTTGGAGTAGCCCTAGTTATAATTCTTTGCATTTTTATTGTTTCATAATCACTATGTAATTTCTCGTAAGGGTTCACATAATAAGTCTGAAACATGAGCTGGAAGTTGGACAGTCCCTGCTAGCCCTCCTTAAACACTAGATCTGCCAGCTCTGCCCACCTCATTGTTGCCAATTTAGTATATACAGTAATGGCCAACTCATATAATTCTTCCTTGTATCAATCTCTGAAATACCCAGATCTCCTTTAAATATTTAGTATCTGCAATCAAGGAAATATCAGGAAATGCAACATTTTAGCAATAGCAATTGCTTAAATCCCATCCAGATTTAGTTGGGATTACATCCCACTGAAGTCTATGTGGATTGTAAATACAATATATTTGTGCTATTAATGTCCCTCTTTATTCTCTCTCTCTTCCTCTCTCCTCCCACTGCCTTTCTTATTCAAGTATTTGTAGTCATATTGCAGAATTCTACAGAGAATTTGTTTTGTTCTAGTTTCTGGGCAGATGGGGAGGAAGCAGAGATTTTTTTCTGACAAGCCACAGAAAACTGTTAGTAATTATAGAAAATCTGTGCTGTGTCAAAGTATTGCTTTCTGCATTCCACCCATCCCCTATTTCTTTGTCTCATATGTGGGGACTATATTGGACTATTGCACTGTGCTGTCTTGGGATTGGCATGGGTGTTGGGGATTGGACTGGGGTGTCCCCTCTAAAATTCTACATGTCTTTGTATATGACTCTGGAATGTTTAATAGGAGCATGAAAAAAACTGACAACACCTAGATATTTGCCCCCAAATATACTGCTGGGAAAAAGAGAAAAAGAAAATTTGGATTTGCCATTGAAACCATTTTGGATTAGCAGGTAGAAGGACTTTGAGCTAAATTTAGCTTTGAATCTCAGAACAGATTCCTAGTCTTGAAACATTTTAACTCCAAATGTTTGTCTTGTGCACTGGGCTCTAGTTGGTGGTTCTTAGGTCACTAGTAAAAAAACAACCCAAACAGAACAACATTTATTAATCTGGAGTTTCCTGTTTCTATCAAAATTATGAATAATTACTTACTGAGAGTTTAAATTATGATCAGACCTGGTTTTTTGAATGCTGATATCAAACACTGTTGTTTGAGTGGCACAATACAAGTGAAAGATAATTGGTATTGGTGTACAGTATATTTAAATTAATGAGCTCTCCTGCAGTAAACTCAGAAATGGATTCTGTGGCCCCTTTCTGTTTATTATGGGGAAGCTCCATCATTTCAGTCTGCCTATACCTTTTCATAGCTGGGAGCACATGTCTTTTGCCTATATATGAAAAGAATGATTTCATTCTCTCTCAATTTCAAAAGCTATTTTGTTTCAACATCAAGCTATTGTGGAAAGAAGAAGCTGGAATATAAATTTTGTTATTATTAGATTACTATATAAATTTGTTAGCTCAAAAGCTCTAGGCTATATCTCCATTGTTAATGTGTTTTATTGTTTAGATTAATTCCAATTATGGAATCTGGCTGGAGGAATTTTGATGTCACCCAGGCTGTGCATTTTTGGCTTAAAGCAAAGAAGACTGGGCCAATGCTTCTGGAGATCTGGATTGAAGGAGAAAGAATAGGAAACTATGCCTCTGAAATGGCCAAAGTTGTCCGCTTCACTTCTCAAGATCCCTCTGATAAAGCACTGGGCAAACCTGAGTTGGTGCTTTATACCCTGAACTTGGAAGAATATGGGTGAGTGTTGAACTTTAACTAGATGGTGAAGTTGTGTTTTCTTTTCTGTCCTTTCATACAGAAGAACATTTTGGCAAACCATTAAATAATCGTTAAGCCAAGCCCGAACTATGTTAACTTGAAAGTGAAGTCTGCTAATGTCAAACAAGGATACAGTACTCAGAATCATAGCTGTACATAATGATTCTCTTCATGTTTATGTGAAACTAGGTCCCACTATGTACTGTGTCAAGTTTGTTTGCATAGGAAGAAATTTCTGCTCATTTACTTCCAATAAAATGTGTAAAGAATTGGTTTGCATATTATTTAATGTTTTAGTTTACCTTGAGAAAACGATCTGTTTCGTGTTGCTATTAAGATGCAAAGGTTACTGTTAAATATGCATTATAGTTTTGTGCAAGAAATCCAGGCTTTGAGCCAATTTCTTCCCATGATGTTGATTTGAAAAGCACGAGTAGCAAATGAATGTACACATTACCATGAACAAAGAAACAGAGAGAGGCAGACTCTTGTGCATGGGAGGACTCCTTCCATCTGTGGTGGCCTTCTGATCTGGCAGACAAATCCCACTGGGAGAATAAAGAGGACAGTGATACTCATCAGTTGCCTCTCCACAAATTTGCTCCAAAGGGTTGAGACATCCTAGCTCTGGGCAGATGGTGCTGGGAGGGTGGTACCCTCTCCACAAATTTGCTCCAAAGGGTTGACAGATCCTAACTCTGGGCAGGTGGTGCTGGAGGGGGGGTGGTATAGAAGGGGGAGGGTGAAATCAGTGAATCTTGCCTGTTCTTTCTGCAACAGGAGCATTTTGATTGGAATTTCACTCATGAATGCTCTTATCAGCAGAAAAAAAAATCAGATTTAACCCTTTGTATGATTTTTTTAAAAAAAATAATGTCACAAGTTTTATTAGATAGATTGTACTGTGTATTTACCTGGCTTTACCTCATTGATGGACTGGCTAGAAGTTCTTGCTTAGCATAGAATTTGCTAGGTGATTCTTGACTTGTCCTTATAAAACAAGGCATGGGGAAAGACTTATGCCAAAGAAGGCCATATAGGTGCTTAGCACATTTAAGAATGAACATGTTTAGACCTCTGTAAACATTAGTAACCTTCCCGTTGTCTGTAGCCCAGTTCCTTTAAATATTACCCTTCCTATTTCCACATCAGGAATATAAAGCTATTGCTTCTGCTTTTTCACAGAGGACCTGGAGACTGTAAAGAAGGAACCTCAACAGACAAAACCACTTGCTGCCGGCAAGAACATTATATCAATTTCCGAGAGCTGACCTGGACTCAGTATTGGATTATAGAGCCGGCTGGCTATCAAGCCTACCACTGTGTGCGCAGCTGCCGGCAGCCCAAGAACTTGCGCCATTTTGGCTATGGAGAGAGAACCTGTGCTGTGGTGGAAAGTTCCCCACTTCCCATGATGTACCTTGTCAAGAAGGGAAACTACACAGAAATTGAGGTGGCAGAATTCCCTAACATGATTGTAGAAAAATGTGGCTGCATCATGGACAATATAGCCGTTGTCTAGCTAGGTATATGCAGAGATCCTTTAGTACTAACAGGGCTGAAGTGCAAGAAATGGTCAGCTCCAGGGCAGTTTTTTCCTACTGAAATAACCTGTGTAAACACTGCCAAGATATGCAGTGGTCCAGACCCTGATGGTAGATTGACTGTTTCTTCATGAATTTGGTTTCTAGTCTTCTGGTTAAATTCAGAGCATAGTTCTCTTCCTCTTTCAGCAAAGGAATTTAGGCTGTAACTACATGGTCAAATATTGCAAGATTTGCTCCACTATAAAATGGATTAATTCAAATTATTATTTACTGGTCACATAACACAAAGGCTAATTCAAATTGATTCAGCCCTTTTTGCTCCCAATGCAGTCCTTTTCCTCTGTCTTTGTGGTCTTCTACTTTTTTCAAGCTAGAACAATTTGAACAGACTTTTTCTTGTGTGATCAGTTGATTCATTTTTGTAAAGATGGGGGGGCATGTCTGTGGGCAGTGATTGGGTGATGTAGGCAGTTGGAGCATGATGTTCAGGACTGCAGAAACACCTGCCACTGTGTTCTTTCTCGACTGTCCTCCAATATTTTTTTTTACATATATGAGATTAGTGCTAGATCACCTTATCACTAGGTTCCAATACTAATTTAGTGGTTGATCAGATCCAGATAAAAAAAATGCAAACAAAACAGAAGCAATTCAGATAAAATAAGACATTCCCATGGTGTGTGATATTTCTATACATGTTAGGGAGAATTTTGGAATGCTGCCACCTTTTCTGGAACACCATATAACCCTTTCAAAACTAAGTAGCTTGACAATGAACCATAGAAGTTTTGACAGAAGTGGGACTAGAAAGGAAAGAAGGGAAGGCTAAAATGCGAATCGCATCAAATTGACTGTGAACACTAAACTTCCAGATCAATCCACAGCTCCTTGTTTTTATTGACTAAATTCAAACATAATACAGACTATGAATCAAATCACTCCAATTCAGAGCAATTTGTATACCAGTTAGCTACAGCCTCAGTTATGCTGCTACTTGGGGGAGGGGGGAGCAAGATCCAGTATGGACTTTTCTACCATAATACAGATTGGCACCCTAAGCAAAACGTATATTTACTGAATTGTTGCTGAGATGCTGTTTCCTATGATGCACCAATAGCAAAGAATCTAATACTGTACTAAATTCCACAGTCAGTTGTTAACACTCATCATCAAGGACTCCAATCTCACCTCTGCCATGAACTTGCTGTGTGGCTTTGGGCAAACCCAGAGCTTGGAATTTTTACTTTTTTTCTTTAAAAGGCCACACTAACTGGGGGTTTTGGCGAGATGTAGCCCTAAACATAATGTTTTCAGTTCTGGGCAAACCACTGAGTTTTGATGCCTCATTTGCCATATTTGTGGATAATAATACTTTTCTATCTTGCAGGCTTCTCATAAGGATTTATTGTGAAATGAATCTGAAATGTTGTGTCAGTGCTAAACTCTTTTATTATTTATGGTAGGAGGCTCAGAATTGCTTTCCTCTCAAACAGCAAAGGAACTGTTTGACCTAGAGTTGCTAACTCTGATTTGTAGGAATAGGCTAGTCAACACTGGCTACCCAACAAATCACATTTGTGTGTAGCATTCCTTCTCTCTGCAAATGGTCTACCATCAAGGTTAAAATGTTTGAGTATACAGAGTGTTAAAATAATTAAGAATACTGTTTTAGAAAAGCAAGCTTGAAAATGTACTTTGTGCTCTAGATCTTTCTCTTTAAGAAAAGACTTAGGATGTTTTAAACATTTCAGTCTGTTTTGAATTATCTTTTATGTTTTGATTAATTTTCCTTCTTATCTAAAAAGAATGAACATGGTTTCAGTTTTGCATACTATTATACTTGTTCTGATTTTGTTGTACACTACCTTGTGGAGGCAATGTCCAGAAATTCAATTTTTAAACCCTTTAACAAATAAACTATTGAACAGAATTGGAATGACCATACCACAAACATACAGCATAGACAGCAGAAACAGCACTAACAATAAGTGCATCTCACTATTTCTTTCATCTGTCTTTACCAGACATTCCTTTATATACAATACTGGATCACTGCTAGGATAAAACTACATATTCTTTTCTTGTACTAAAGTGAACTGTGAAAACTCTCTTTTCTTTCAAGCAACTCAAGCCTACAATAAAAGGTTGATGCAAGAGAGAGAAAACTGTCTGTACCTTTTCACCTAATATCTCAGTTTCTGAAACAATCTATAATCACTTTCCCCAATTTTGGATTTTTACTCCAGCTGCATTCATCCTATAGTTTAATGCTTTGTCTGTTTTCACTGTAGAATTTCCTATCATATGAACATGCCCAATTTTGCACACTCATGGGAAAATAGAAATAGTGAAACCTAGTCTTCCACAACTGTAGCTTGTAGTTTAGGTCAGTTTACATTATAAGCACACGCTTTTCTGTTGAAACCAAAGAAGTTTAGAAACTCATGGATTTGTCTAGATCATACCTACAGATTCTTCCACATATTTATGTCCTATTGATTTTATTAGGCCACTTAAATGTATCCTTCACAATTTCCTGCTGGTCTTTAAACTGTTCAATTTTGTCTTGATGGTACCTATAAAGGGATGAGGCTGAGAGATAGAACTTTTGAGCAAATAAGGTGAGCAGGAAAAAACTGATGTAAGAATGACATTTTGTCTCATACACCACATATTTATACTTTATCAGCTGCAAAGATTTTAACAAGCACTTATCTGTAAATAGTCTAGAATTCCTTCATGTGCATCCTCCCCCAAAAGCCTGGCCAGTAAATGGTTTAATCATTGAAAACTGATTCTGAACTTCTGTAATTATTCAGTGTAACTAATGTTAAGGGATTCTTGTTTGGTTATGTTTGCAGGATCAATTTTTTTTCTAATTGTAATATATAGTCATTGTGATTGGTGAATACTCCCTTCTCCAAATTCTGTATATTTTGACATGCAAGAAAAACAATAAAGTATAAAATGAATGGAGTAACTGATCTGAATCTTTAAATATACTTTAGTTTAGTTTATCTGTATCTACTCCTCAGACCATTACTTTAATGGTATTTGAATACTTTAAGTACATGTGCAAACATTATTATCCACATTGGGTCTTTTTAAGGAGAAAGGCTGGATAAAAATAGTTTAAATAAATTAAAGAAATAAAGTATTTTTATTGTTTACTGGTAAAGTTCGTTTTTATGATGGTATGTTGCATCATATACTTTCTACAGATACATAAAAGAGAGGAATAAAATTTATAGTTCTATAGGAGTTTCCAAAATTGGTGAGCATATAAGGTCTGAAATGCTAAATGTTGTGCTTTTTTAATGCATGGTGGTAAAATGGGGAATCTGGCCATACTGAGTCATATAAAAGTTCATGATGGAACTCTAGACATGCCTACTGAGAAGTAAGTCTTGCTGGATTCAGTGGGACAGAGAGCAGTTCAGTACTTAGCTGGAAGTTGTCCCATTGAACTTGGCAGACTAATCATTAGATGTGGGTGGGACTGCAGGATAGAAAGCCCTGAGACAGATGATAAAGCTAGTGGTGGCGGTGGAGGAGGAGGCGGTGGTGCACCTTTATTTTGAGAACAATATTTCTGTCAAAATAAGTTGTCAAATATTTCTTTAGAAGACTAAAATGAACACTAAAAACACTTAGTGCTGTCCTCTGAAGATGCCGGCCACAGAGACTGGTGAAACGTTAGGAAGAACAACCTTCAGAACACGGCCAAAGAGCCTGAAAAACCCACAACAACCATTAGATCTCAGCCGTGAAAGCCTTTGCAAATCCACTCTGGGCAGTTCGCAACAAAATAAGGAACAATAACAGAATGAATAATAGCCACAAAACATAGTCACAATATAGAATCCAAATAAACATATCAATCAATTAACTAAAAAAGCAACATAAAATGATTAATTAATGTAAAATTAAAACATAACAATTGAACATAAGCAAGACTATGGAGTTGGTAATTTAAGGACTGAAAGAACATCTGCACTCTGTTGGTGCAATATCTGGAAAGGCCAGTCTGAATAACCAATTTTAAGCAGTCCACAGTGAAGGGGCCAGGCAAATCTTGAGCAGTTTATTCCATAGGTGAGGTGCTACTGTGGAGAAGACCCAGTTCCTGGTCTTCTCTTTCTGGGCCTCTCTCAGGGTCATTGATCTCAACTGCTCGGCCTTGGTATGAGAGAGTGGGTCAGGCAGATCTCAGTGGAAGATGGCATTCTGCCAGGTATCAAGGTCCCAAATTGTTTAGGATCTTATATGTCAGTGTCATCACCTTGAACTTGGCACAGAAATGAACAGGTTGCCCATACAAAGCAGCTAGAGTGGGAGAAATATGGTGATATTTATTTACTCCACTCAGTAATCTGTTCACCATATTCTGGACCTGTTGAAGTTTCCATAGCAGTCTCATAGGCAGCCTTAAACAAAGAGCATTACAGTACTCTAATCTTGAAACTATCAACGTGATGGACCAGCATGGTAAGGGACCTGGTGTACAGGTAGGGATGGAGCTTGCAATCCATCTCAGGTGGAAAAAGGTGGAATGAGCCACAGATGCTACCTGAGAATCTATTGATAGCACTGGGTCCAAGAATATGCCTAGACTGCACACCCCATCCTTCATAGAGAGAGCAGCCTCCCCAAAAGAGAGGGAGACCTCCCAAGCCACAGACACTAGGGGCATCCACCTGCAGGACGGTCCAAGTTCAGCCTCAATCTGTTGTCCCTCATCCATCCCAGCACAGCATTCAGGCAGAGCTCAAAGGATGGGATAGCATCCACTGCATAAGGATGGAAGGAGAGATAGACCTAGGTGTCATCTGCATATTGGTCATACGAAGCTCCAGAACTCCTGATGACCTCTCCCAGCAGTCTCATATAGATATTAAACAGCAATGGGGAGATGATTGACTTCCAAGGGACTCCACAGTTAAAAGTCTAAGGAGTGGACACCGTCTCCTGAAGTTGCATTAGGGCAGTCTTCGAAGAACGACCAGAGCCAGAACAAAGCCAGGCCACCAATCCCCAACCCCAAGAGCCTCCCCAGGAGGATATGGTGGCCCACAGTATTGAAGGCTGCTAAGAGATCGAGGAGGACCAGCAGGGACATTTCCCCCTGTAGGTCACCCTCAAAAGGTCATTAGGCAAGGAGATTCATGCCATCTCTGTGCCATAAAGGCATCAAGGGCATCAGTCACCTTGATCAATTTTACTGCTTCCAAAGACGTGGATTGCAAAAGAAGAGGATGCTTAAAAAAGCGTATTTCCCTTAGGGAAAGTCCAAGAATGTGATTTGAAAAAAGATCAATTTCAGAGAGGACCTGAGGTAACATTAGACATGGGCCTAATGGAGGTCAGTTATTGGGGGAAGTGTG